CTGTGTCCTCATTCCTCTCTGATGGGGCCTTCCTTTCTATAAGGACCTGTTAAATCTGAGAGTCTGTGTCCTCATTCCTCTCTGATGGGGCCTTCCTTTCTATAAGGACCTGTTAGATCTGAGAGTCTGTGTCCTCATTCCTCTCTGATGGGGCCTTCCTTTCTATAAGGACCTGTTAAATCTGAGAGTCTGTGTCCTCATTCCTCTCTGATGGGGCCTTCCTTTCTATAAGGACCTGTTAGATCTGAGAGTCTGTGTCCTCATTCCTCTCTGATGGGGCCTTCCTTTCTATAAGGACCTGTTAGATCTGAGAGTCTGTGTCCTCATTCCTCTCTGATGGGGCCTTCCTTTCTATAAGGACCTGTTAGATCTGAGAGTCTGTGTCCTCATTCCTCTCTGATGGGGCCTTCCTTTCTATAAGGACCTGTTAGATCTGAGAGTCTGTGTCCTCATTCCTCTCTGATGGGGCCTTCCTTTCTATAAGGACCTGTTAGATCTGAGAGTCTGTGTCCTCATTCCTCTCTGATGGGGCCTTCCTTTCTATAAGGACCTGTTAGATCTGAGAGTCTGTGTCCTCATTCCTCTCTGATGGGGCCTTCCTTTCTATAAGGACCTGTTAGATCTGAGAGTCTGTGTCCTCATTCCTCTCTGATGGGGCCTTCCTTTCTATAAGGACCTGTTAGATCTGAGAGTCTGTGTCCTCATTCCTCTCTGATGGGGCCTTCCTTTCTATAAGGACCTGTTAGATCTGAGAGTCTGTGTCCTCATTCCTCTCTGATGGGGCCTTCCTTTCTATAAGGACCTGTTAGATCTGAGAGTCTGTGTCCTCATTCCTCTCTGATGGGGCCTTCCTTTCTATAAGGACCTGTTAGATCTGAGAGTCTGTGTCCTCATTCCTCTCTGATGGCCTTCCTTTCTATAAGGACCTGTTAGATCTGAGAGGGCCTTCCTTTCTATAAGGACCTGTTAGATCTGAGAGTCTGTGTCCTCATTCCTCTCTGATGGGGCCTTCCTTTCTATAAGGACCTGTTAGATCTGAGAGTCTGTGTCCTCATTCCTCTCTGATGGGGCCTTCCTTTCTATAAGGACCTGTTAGATCTGAGAGTCTGTGTCCTCATTCCTCTCTGATGGGGCCTTCCTTTCTATAAGGACCTGTTAGATCTGAGAGTCTGTGTCCTCATTCCTCTCTGATGGGGCCTTCCTTTCTATAAGGACCTGTTAGATCTGAGAGTCTGTGTCCTCATTCCTCTCTGATGGGGCCTTCCTTTCTATAAGGACCTGTTAAATCTGAGAGTCTGTGTCCTCATTCCTCTCTGATGGGGCCTTCCTTTCTATAAGGACCTGTTAGATCTGAGAGTCTGTGTCCTCATTCCTCTCTGATATGGCCTTCCTTCCTATAAGGACCTGTTAAATCTGAGAGTCTGTGTCCTCATTCCTCTCTGATGGGGCCTTCCTTTCTATAAGGACCTGTTAGATCTGAGAGTCTGTGTCCTCATTCCTCTCTGATGGGGCCTTCCTTTCTATAAGGACCTGTTAAATCTGAGAGTCTGTGTCCTCATTCCTCTCTGATGGGGCCTTCCTTTCTATAAGGACCTGTTAAATCTGAGAGTCTGTGTCCTCATTCCTCTCTGATGGGGCCTTCCTTTCTATAAGGACCTGTTAAATCTGAGAGTCTGTGTCCTCATTCCTCTCTGATGGGGCCTTCCTTTCTATAAGGACCTGTTAAATCTGAGAGTCTGTGTCCTCATTCCTCTCTGATGGGGCCTTCCTTTCTATAAGGACCTGTTAAATCTGAGAGTCTGTGTCCTCATTCCTCTCTGATGGGGCCTTCCTTTCTATAAGGACCTGTTAGATCTGAGAGTCTGTGTCCTCATTCCTCTCTGATGGGGCCTTCCTTTCTATAAGGACCTGTTAGATCTGAGAGTCTGTGTCCTCATTCCTCTCTGATGGGGCCTTCCTTTCTATAAGGACCTGTTAAATCTGAGAGTCTGTGTCCTCATTCCTCTCTGATGGGGCCTTCCTTCCTTTCTATAAGGACCTGTTAGATCTGAGAGTCTGTGTCCTCATTCCTCTCTGATGGGGCCTTCCTTTCTATAAGGACCTGTTAGATCTGAGAGTCTGTGTCCTCATTCCTCTCTGATGGGGCCTTCCTTTCTATAAGGACCTGTTAGATCTGAGAGTCTGTGTCCTCATTCCTCTCTGATGGGGCCTTCCTTTCTATAAGGACCTGTTAAATCTGAGAGTCTGTGTCCTCATTCCTCTCTGATGGGGCCTTCCTTTCTATAAGGACCTGTTAAATCTGAGAGTCTGTGTCCTCATTCCTCTCTGATGGGGCCTTCCTTTCTATAAGGACCTGTTGAATCTGAGAGTCTGTGTCCTCATTCCTCTCTGATGGGGCCTTCCTTTCTATAAGGACCTGTTAGATCTGAGAGTCTGTGTCCTCATTCCTCTCTGATGGGGCCTTCCTTTCTATAAGGACCTGTTAGATCTGAGAGTCTGTGTCCTCATTCCTCTCTGATGGGGCCTTCCTTTCTATAAGGACCTGTTAGATCTGAGAGTCTGTGTCCTCATTCCTCTCTGATGGGGCCTTCCTTTCTATAAGGACCTGTTAAATCTGAGAGTCTGTGTCCTCATTCCTCTCTGATGGGGCCTTCCTTTCTATAAGGACCTGTTAAATCTGAGAGTCTGTGTCCTCATTCCTCTCTGATGGGGCCTTCCTTTCTATAAGGACCTGTTAAATCTGAGAGTCTGTGTCCTCATTCCTCTCTGATGGGGCCTTCCTTTCTATAAGGACCTGTTAGATCTGAGAGTCTGTGTCCTCATTCCTCTCTGATGGGGCCTTCCTTTCTATAAGGACCTGTTAAATCTGAGAGTCTGTGTCCTCATTCCTCTCTGATGGGGCCTTCCTTTCTATAAGGACCTGTTAGATCTGAGAGTCTGTGTCCTCATTCCTCTCTGATGGGGCCTTCCTTTCTATAAGGACCTGTTAGATCTGAGAGTCTGTGTCCTCATTCCTCTCTGATGGGGCCTTCCTTTCTATAAGGACCTGTTAGATCTGAGAGTCTGTGTCCTCATTCCTCTCTGATGGGGCCTTCCTTTCTATAAGGACCTGTTAAATCTGAGAGTCTGTGTCCTCATTCCTCTCTGATGGGGCCTTCCTTTCTATAAGGACCTGTTAGATCTGAGAGTCTGTGTCCTCATTCCTCTCTGATGGGGCCTTCCTTTCTATAAGGACCTGTTAAATCTGAGAGTCTGTGTCCTCATTCCTCTCTGATGGGGCCTTCCTTTCTATAAGGACCTGTTAAATCTGAGAGTCTGTGTCCTCATTCCTCTCTGATGGGGCCTTCCTTTCTATAAGGACCTGTTAAATCTGAGAGTCTGTGTCCTCATTCCTCTCTGATGGGGCCTTCCTTTCTATAAGGACCTGTTAGATCTGAGAGTCTGTGTCCTCATTCCTCTCTGATGGGGCCTTCCTTTCTATAAGGACCTGTTAAATCTGAGAGTCTGTGTCCTCATTCCTCTCTGATGGGGCCTTCCTTTCTATAAGGACCTGTTAGATCTGAGAGTCTGTGTCCTCATTCCTCTCTGATGGGGCCTTCCTTTCTATAAGGACCTGTTAGATCTGAGAGTCTGTGTCCTCATTCCTCTCTGATGGGGCCTTCCTTTCTATAAGGACCTGTTAGATCTGAGAGTCTGTGCCTCATTCCTCTCTGATGGGGCCTTCCTTTCTATAAGGACCTGTTAGATCTGAGAGTCTGTGTCCTCATTCCTCTCTGATGGGGCCTTCCTTTCTATAAGGACCTGTTAGATCTGAGAGTCTGTGTCCTCATTCCTCTCTGATGGGGCCTTCCTTTCTATAAGGACCTGTTAAATCTGAGAGTCTGTGTCCTCATTCCTCTCTGATGGGGCCTTCCTTTCTATAAGGACCTGTTAGATCTGAGAGTCTGTGTCCTCATTCCTCTCTGATGGGGCCTTCCTTTCTATAAGGACCTGTTAAATCTGAGAGTCTGTGTCCTCATTCCTCTCTGATGGGGCCTTTCTATAAGGACCTGTTAGATCTGAGAGTCTGTGTCCTCATTCCTCTCTGATGGGGCCTTCCTTTCTATAAGGACCTGTTAGATCTGAGAGTCTGTGTCCTCATTCCTCTCTGATGGGGCCTTCCTTTCTATAAGGACCTGTTAGATCTGAGAGTCTGTGTCCTCATTCCTCTCTGATGGGGCCTTCCTTTCTATAAGGACCTGTTAGATCTGAGAGTCTGTGTCCTCATTCCTCTCTGATGGGGCCTTCCTTTCTATAAGGACCTGTTAAATCTGAGAGTCTGTGTCCTCATTCCTCTCTGATGGGGCCTTCCTTTCTATAAGGACCTGTTAGATCTGAGAGTCTGTGTCCTCATTCCTCTCTGATGGGGCCTTCCTTTCTATAAGGACCTGTTAAATCTGAGAGTCTGTGTCCTCATTCCTCTCTGATGGGGCCTTCCTTTCTATAAGGACCTGTTAAATCTGAGAGTCTGTGTCCTCATTCCTCTCTGATGGGGCCTTCCTTCCTTTCTATAAGGACCTGTTAGATCTGAGAGTCTGTGTCCTCATTCCTCTCTGATGGGGCCTTCCTTCCTTTCTATAAGGACCTGTTAGATCTGAGAGTCTGTGTCCTCATTCCTCTCTGATGGGGCCTTCCTTTCTATAAGGACCTGTTAGATCTGAGAGTCTGTGTCCTCATCATCCAGAGGCAGTTTGTTCCTTTTCAGATTTTTTTTTTTTTTTTTGAGATGGTCTTGCTGCCATCTCAAGATCTTCCTTCCTCAGCCTCCCTGGCACTGGGATTACAGGCATGCACCGCCACACTTAGCAGTTTTCACCCCTTTAAATGCAGCTAATGTCATAGAACTCCCCGTCCTCTTCACCCCGAACTGGATAAGCACTGATCCAGTCACCTCTCTGTGGCTACTACTGCTTTAGGAAAAACGGGAGATTCTGAGGGTGAGAAATTTTAAAAGCTCATACCTTTGCATCATCCAGCAGAGGACTTCCTGGCTCAGAGTCAATGGAATAGGGGGAGAAACCTGCCTGGGACCCCGAGTCAGAGGCCGGAGGAGACATCAGAAGGACATTCTGATTAAAGTCATCAATCTTCAAGTCCACGTCACTGTCCACCAGACTGCCTAAGTCAATGCCCTTCAGAAGCTCTGCAAAGAAAACTCCTCCTTAGAAAACTACCCATTTTTACAAAATCCCACATGGACAGGGCCTCATAACACATCTGAGTCCTCCCCTGTGCCCATCACAGGACTTCTCCAAACAACTGTGAGGTTTGATAGGCCTTTCTCAACACAATGACTTACTGTTTTTCTGATTTGCCAGCTTCAGCACCATGTTCTCCTGACGCAGCTTGTGATTGACCTGCTGCAAATATTTGATGTAATCAATGGCCTTCCTCAGAACGCCAGACTTGTGCATCTGGGAAGAAGATAGATAAAACATAGTTAAAGCAGTGCATGCTGGAGCAAAGAGAGCAGAGCCCCAGAGTTCATGAGTGAGGAGCACAGCTGTGAGGTGTCAAACACTGGTTCAAATGTTGGCTATCTGGCATAAAACTCACCCTAACTCTGAACCTCTTTTTTCTTTTTTGGGTGTGTGTGTGTGAAGTGGGATAATACTAGGTATTGGATCCAGGGTTTGGAACATTCTAGCTCTATCATGAGCTAAATCCTAAGCCCTCCCCTTAATCCTTAACATGTGAATAATGATTGTATGTAAACCATAGGCTGGTAGTACTGACATATAATTGACATGTAAACATTGGCTATAATAATTCTTATAATACACATAAACATAAAAACAAACTTTAGCTGGGCAGTGGTGGCACATGCGTTTAACTCCAGCACTTGGGAGGCAGAGGCAGGTGGATCTCTGTGAGTTCGAGGCCAGCCTTGGCTACAGAGTGAGTTCCAGGAAAGGCAGCACAAAGCTACACAGAGAAACCCAGAAAAATAGAAAAAAAAAAGGAAAAGAAAAAGAAAAAAAACAAACTTTAAGGCTGGGCGGTGGTGGTACATGCCTTTAATTCCATCACTTGGGAAGCAGAAGCAGGAAGATCTCTGAGTTCAAGGCCAGCCAGGTCTATAGAGTGAGTTCCATGAGAGCCAGGGCTACACAAAGAAACTCTGTCTCAGAAAAACCAAAACCAGAACCCAAAAACAATAAAAACAAAAAACCCATTAACAACAACGACAACAGAAAAACTTTAAGGAAAACACAAGGCAAACAAACTGGAGACTGCGTATAGTGACACACACCTGTAATCCCAGCACTTAAGCAGAGGCAGGTGGACCTCTCTGAGTTTGAATCCAGCCTGGTGTACATAGAAAGTTCCAGGCCAGCCAGGGCTAATGAGACCCAGGCTGATAGACAAACAAACAAACCAGTACTGTGCTGGAAAGGCAGTTTAGTAACAGAGTGCTTGCTTAGCACGTATAAACCATGGACTCAATCTAACACTAGAACCCAGAGCATTTCTCAACTGCTATTTTAAATAACAATATATACTTTCTACTTAATATTTATACTTATACTCTTATAGACTGTAAGGAAAACAATGGACTTCCCTTTAAAATAGGGTTGTTATTTTAAACAAACGAGCAACCCCTCCCATTTCCCAGGAGACACATTCATTGAAAAAAGAAAAAAAAAAACCAAATATATATATATATATATATAATTTCATATATATATATATATGAAAATTAATTTCCTCTGCTTTGCTCTTGGTCAAAGGACTCAATCACCACTCTCTCTTCTCCCCTAAAAGGGAACACTACTAAAAATATGTCAAGAATGTCCTTAGTTGCCTCCAGGGTACACCATCCTATGCCTAGCCACCAGGTAAGAAGTGTATCTCCCGCTAACACTGGGGTGTCTATCATAGCAGAGCATCCCTTATGTTCGGTGTCATAGACAGTCACAACAGAGCATGGCTGAAGGACTCGAAGGTACTAGGAGGTCATCAATTCTCAACATTCCATTTATGTTAGATGATAATTTGCACTTATTTTTATTTTTTGAGTATTTTTGCCTGCCTTTCATGTGTGCCCAGTGCTTGAGAACAGAAGAGGGTGCTGGGTCCCCAGAACTATGGTTACGGACTGTCCTGAGCCACAGCAAGGGTGTTGGGAACAGAACCCTCTGGAAGAGCAGTACATGCTCTTAACTGCTGAGCCAGCTCTCCAGCCCTCCTCATTCAGTCATTCATTTATGGAACTGACTTTTAGCCTTGATTGGCCTAGAACTTACAATCCTCCTGCCGTGTCTCCTGGGCAATATTTTATAGTCCTGTCCAATGTTGAGGTACTTCAATAAGCATGTACCTCTAACTCACTTCTGTGTCTGTTCAGCTGAAGCCTGCATCTTCCCTATTCCCATGACAGACAGGAGACACCGAGGCACGAATCTCCATTCTTCTTGGCACCTACCTTGGCATCTGTTCCCATGACCAAGTCCTTCAGCTCTATGATTTTGTCGTTGATAGAGGATCGATACCGCTTTTCAATGATATTGTGTGTTGTCCGTCTCTCTCCTTCTTTGGGGGGCTCTAGCTGCTTTACGCCTCCAGGTACTTGCTTAATAGGAACTTTCTCTTGTCCCATCATTACAGGCATTGTGGTCAGAATGGTCCCATTGCTGCCTACCAGGGTCTAGAACAAGGGCAGAGTTATCCTTTGTTAGTTTAAACAAAGTAACCTCCCAACACAAAGTGGCTTGCTCCTGCATTGGGGGTGTCAGCCAGGAGTGCTCCTGCATATGGGGTGTCAGCTGGGAATGCTCCATGTGGTTTGATACCTCCTGGGCTAATGAGGCCAGGTCCCCCAAAACCTCAAGAGCTGACCAAAAGCTCATCAGCTCCTATCTTCCCATCATAGTCACTGTCAATAAGCTGTACCACCGAAAGATTAGTTCAGCCTTAACTTCTGATCTAGGGGTTGCTAGAAAAAAGCTGTATGGTTTTGCTGTCAAACTGTCAGCCACCTCTGAATACACATGTATGAACTAAATTAACTGGGCCAAGAGAAAACTTTCTCTGAGTGTGTGACACATTTTTTTCTCTTCTCAAATGACAAGTAAATTCCTACATTTTTTTCTATAGTTTGACCATCAGAGATTACAAAGGTAAAACTCTTACTTTCATTCAGAGCTGTTTGCTTAACTAATCAGCTCAACCACAGAGGCTTCTTCCCTCATTTCTACCTTTCCCTGTTCCCATGTTTACTAATTTTTGTTCTTAGTTTCTTTAATAAATGGCTTCAATATCCAAATGGTCAATAAAGAGACAAAAACCTGCTCTAACTCATTAGAATTTGAAATATTTCACTGGGCTGGTGGTAACTGCACACGCCTTTAATCCCAGCACTTGGGAGGCAGAGGCAGGTGGATCTCTGTGAGTTCCAAGCCATCCAGGGCTACATAGTGACACCGTCTCCAAAAAAAAGTCAGCCAGGCAAGGTGGCACACATCTATAACCACAGCCCCCAGAGGCTCAAGGTAGGAAGATTTTGAGTTTGAGGCCAACCTGAGAGATCCTATATAAAAACAAACAAAATAAAAGCAAAACAAATAATAATTTACACATAACAAATATTATTTTTAGAAGTGTGATGAAGTTTTACATGCGAGCACAACATGTAGCACGCAAGTCAAGACAAAAACTCTTCACCTTAGGATGTCCCCTTACATCCTGAGAATGTTCCCTTATGTCCTGCCCTAGAACCCTGCTGGGACAATCACCACAGCCATGTTTCATCTCCTGAGCTTCATACTAATGGAATCACCAGTGTGAACCTCTGAGATAGGCTTCTTTTGCTCTCTGTCATTCTGAGGTTTAGCCAGGTTGTCTTAGGCATCAATAGTCCCCTTTCTTACTGTTGGCAACACTTCCATTTTATGGTGCACTGTGAGTTGTTTATTATCCTAGGGATGGACACTGGATGTTTCTAGTTCTTGGCAGCTTTTATTTTGTTTTGAGACAAAGTCTCACATAGCTTAAGATGGCCCCAAGGCTGCTATGTAGCTGAGGATGACATTGAACTTCTGAACCTCCAACCTCCACCTCTCCAATGCTGGGGAGTCATGTGTAGTCATGTGACACCACACCCTGTTTATGTGTTCCTGGGGATTGAACCCAGAGCCTCATGCAAGCTAGGCAAGTATTCTATCAACCCTAGTTCTTGGTTTTTATGAATAAAGCCAGTGCTTCCAAAACTTAAATAATCTTTTACTCAAAGTGGCTGGGATCCCATACGTGAAGGATGGTGCTTTCCTTGTCTTGACATCTCTCCCTGTCTGGTGACCCTAGAAGTCAAAGCTCCATGGCAACAACAGTGCCTAGGAGATGCTGGTCCTGTGTGGAGCTGCTGCCCAGCTGCAGGGTTCATCTGGGGTCTTTTCCACCCTCTTGCAAGATCCCAAGATTTAATATAACACACCCTAACAACATTTCAAGGGAAAAAGCAAAACAAAAAGTGCAGAAATATTTACAATCTGACGAACACATTCCATAAAAGCTCCCAACGTCTACTTAGCAGTAGGCTTTAAAAACTCAGAAGTGCAGTAGAAGGAGAATGCAACTCTTACTGGTACTTGAAGGGCAGCTGTCTGGAGGGGGGTAGTGAGAGCAGTGAGGGCTGGGTTCTGGACTGCAGCCATGACAGGGCTGCCATCTGTTTTCAGTGTGGTCAGAACAAGGGAGTCTGTCTTAATGATCTGAGGCTGAACCAGGACCTACGAGGAGGACAAAAAGGAGCATTATTTTTGTATTTTTCCATTTGTTTCTTGTTACATAGACTCATCACAAAAGAGTAAGAAAACATTTTCACAAAACTGAAAACAAACAAACAAACAAAAAAAGGAAATCCCTACAGACCATTCCCAAAGTTGGCTATTTTGTGCAGCTTGCATCCCGTGTTCAAGAGGATAGAGGGACAGCTACGGAGTGTTTTAAGGCTTCGGGCTTTCAGGCTAGCAATGCTATTGTGTGGCAGGAACAGAGTAAGGATGGCTCACAATGGATGGCTGAGAGAGAGAGAGAGCCAGGATATTTGCTTTTCTTTTTTTTTTTTACGATAAATTAATTTGGGGCCAGCGAGATGGCTCTATGGTAAAGGTGCCTGTCACTAAGCTTGATGATCTGAGTTTGAGCTCCAGGACTCACAAGGTGGAAGGAGAGAACCAATTCCCACAAGGTGTCCTTTCATTTCCACATGTGTCTACCCACCCATCCACTCACTCACGCACACAAATATTTTAAAATGTAATAAAAAGATTTATTGGCTGGGCGGTGGTGGCGCACTCCTTTAATCCCAGCACTCGGGAGGCAGAGGCAGGCGGATCTCTGTGAGTTTGAGGCCAGCCTGGTCTACAGAGCGAGATCCAGGAAGGCACAAAGCTACACAGAGAAACCCTGTCTCGAAAAACCAAAAAAAAAAAAAAGAAGGGGCTGGAGAGATGGCTCAGAGGTTAAGAGCACTGGCTGTTCTTCCAGAGGTCCTGAGTTCAATTCCCAGCAACCACATGGTGGCTCACAACCATCTGTAATGAGATCTGATGCCCTCTTCTGGTGTGCAGGTACATGCAAGCAAGCAGAACACTGTGTATAGATAATAAATAAATCTTTAAAAAAAAAAAAAAAAAGAAAAGAAAAAGATTTATTAGTAAGAAAACAGTTTGTGTGTAGTGAATGCACATGTATGTGCAAATACACACATCTGTTTGAGAGTACATGAAGGCCAGCGCAGGACACCAGTTCTCTGCTTTACTGTCTTTCGAGAGATCTTAGTGAACTAGAAGCTTCCATTTTGGCTATCACCCTTTCAGTGGACTGGCATGCCAGTAAGCTCTTGGGATAGCCTATCTCTCCCCTTCCCAAAGCTGGGTTTACAGGCACAAGCAGCCATGCCCAACTTTTTACATGGGTACTGGGGATTCAAACACAGAATTAATGGATATGGCAGTGCACACCTTTAATCCCAGCACTCAGGAGGCAGAGGCAGGCAGATCTCTCTGAGTTTGAAGCCAGCCTGGTCTACAGAGTGAGCTCTAGAACAGCCAGAGCTATAGAGAGAACTTGTCTCAAACCAAACAAAAATCAAAACAAAAATCAAACACAGGTCCTAATGCTTACAGAGCAAGCAATCTTATCTACTAAATCATCTCCTTAGTCCCCTAAAACATGTTTTCTGTTTTTGTCTTTTTAATTACAAAAATAATGCACATTTACCACCACCACATACAAGATACACACTTAGTATCCATTGCAAACAGGGAAAACGAAATTAAAGACGGTTATCTGAGAGTTACTAGTTTTACATGTATGGAGAGGGTCAGGGGGTGAAGCACATGCCACAACTCAGGTGCAGAAATCATGGGCAGCTGGTAAGAGTTGGTCCTTCCTCCCACCCTGTGAGTCCTGGGGATTGAACTCAGGTTTTTAGGCTTGGTAACAAGTGCCTGTGTCCACTGAGCCAACTCATTAGCCCTCTTTCCAGTTCTATACCCACCATGAGTCAACACTATATAGTCACTATACCAGCCTTTGCCAGGAACGCCAGAGTCTATCTACAGGGAAGGCTCAGTCAGATCGCTGTATGGTGTTCACAGGTATATCCTGTCCAGGTTCCCTTCTTAGCCCTCCCAGCTGTTCTGTGTACACTCTCGATAACCCTTCTTAGCATGCCAAAGTTTCTACCAAGGAATAGCTCTGAGTCTCCCCCAGTTCCCCCTTGAATCCTTTCCAAGCCACCTACCGGGACCTGCTGCACCTGGGGCGCAGCAACTGTCTGCACTGTGGCTGGGGCAAGGGTCTGCAGCGTGCCATTGGCTGTTTGTGTCAACACCCTCTGGGCCTGTACAGTTTGCACCTGCTGCTGGATCGTGACTGGCTGTACCTGCGAGGATGTCACCAGGCTTTGGACTTGAGGCTGCAGGACTTTGGGGGAGAAGAGAAAAAAGTTACATGGATAAGAAATGCACAATGTCACTGTAGCTGCAGCATAACTTGAGGATGGAGTGTCTCATAATGACTTCAACTTCCCACCTGCTGCTGGAGAAGATGTGCACAACCATTTACAAGCTGGTTTAGAGAATAGGAACATCCCGTAAGGGCTGCATCAATTTCTGATAGAATGAGTACAAATTGTTTTATTACTCTGGGTGCTAGAGGGAAAGTAAGGGAAGCTACTTGGCAAATGGCTGCACCCGCAATGGAGTTAATAGACGTTGAGAACCAACAACCCCCTAGAGTCTCATTGCCTCCCATCCTTTCTAGATGGAAAATCTGCTTTGGGATGAGAGTCTCTGCTTTGTTTTATACCGCCTCTTCCAAAGTCTCAAAACCCACCAGCAAACTATGTGAGTCTTCAAACTGAGAGCAATACTGAGCCTACCCAGAGCTCCCCACTGTCGCTGGATATAGCACATCCCAGAATGAACAAGTGCTTCAGTCACTCATTCACTCAACATATCCTGAATGCCCACCATGAGGGCTGCTATTCAGAGATGTAGCACCAATTTTAAAAGTGGTTTATCTCCACAGTGCTTGTTTTTAGGAGTTATGTGCTGAGGGCATGGTTTTCATCTGTGGATGCCCAGATCTGATGTTAACTATGTAAGTTTCAGACCTAATTTTATTCAGGACTCCACCTCTGGTTATCAAGACAACCTTGCATCTACCATGTTTGCTGGACTCTGAAGTAGGTCTAAATAAACATTAGAGTCTTTGAGGGAGGAGACATGTTCCTGTACCATTCTGCCAATGATCAGAAACTTGTCCAGACAGGACCATACTGAAATATTCTATCATGCTCACATGATAGTTGTGCAGTGTCTACCCACTGACACACGGACTCGGGAACCAACCAACTACTCTGATTTCTGAGTCACCTTGAAAACTGGTTGCTGCATTCTGGTATATCAAAGGCTGCTGGATGATCCTCGTCTGTGGAGCAGTGCTGAACGTTGGGGTGATCATTACCGTCTGCTGCTGAAGCTGAGCTGAAGGTGGGGGCTGGGGCTGGGGTCTGGGCTGGAGAACAGGGGTTGCCCTTGGTGGGGTAGGAGAGACTTTGACCTGGAGGGCTGGAGCCTGAGAGGAGGCAGCTGAGGGGGAGAAGGTAGGTAACGGGGCCTGGCTGAACGACCGCTGTAGTCCAGGGTCTGCGGCTCCACCACTGGTGCCTCTGCCATTGCTGTTGCTGTTGTTGCCGCCGCCGCCGGGGCCATTACCGCCCCCTCCAGAAAACGAGCTACATAGCTGCTCTGAAAACAGATCGGGGAACTCTCCCACTTGATTGCTGACGAACTGTAGCATTTCTGTGAACAAAAGAAAAGGAGTAATTGTATTGATACCCAAAATATAAACTTTTTTAGTTTTGTCTTTTGAGACAGGGTCTTGCTATGTAGACTTGGGTGGTCTGGTAATCAAAACAATCCTCCTGTTTCAGTTCTCCAAGCTCTGGGATTACAGGCAGGTGCCACTAGAGTAGGCTGATGAAAGACAAGCACATTTTTTTCAAATGGTTCCTATGGATTTGTATGTAATTAGTGGGCAAAGAGGAGTAATCCTATGCCTAGAGCTCTTGGCTAACAGTTGAACTGAAAGCCAACTTCTCTTTAATGTGACTCAGGTTATTAATTACTTAGTGACTTCTTTTGAGGTGCCGGGAAATTGAACTCAGAGCCTGGTGCATGCTAGACAAGTGTTCTGTCACTGGGTTCCATCCTCAGCTCCCCAAATATTAACTTTTAAACTTGATTAAGAGATTGATCCAGGGCTGGAGAGATGGCTCAGCCGTTAAAGGCTAGGCTCACAACCAAAAATATAAGAAATTGATCCATTCAAGTTGGGGGTGGCACTCAGCATTTACATAAATGCACAAAGCTCTAGGCTCCATTTCTGGTACCATAAGCAGTGTAACACAAAACAGGAAAATATGGGGAATGAAAAATCTAATGCCAGGCACATGACTTTAATCCCAGCACTTAGGAGACAGAGGCAGGTGGATCTCTGAATTCCAGGCTAACCTGGTCTACAGAGTGAGTTCCAGGACAGCCACGGCTACACAGAGAAACCCTCTCTGGAAAAAACAAAAACAAAAGAAAATCTAATGTTTTGTCTTTTCTGAGATAAGGTCATGCTACATATCCTTGCCAGGTCTAGAACTTGCATCAATCCTCCTGCCTCTGCCACCTGAGTGCTGAGATTACATGTGTAAGCCACCATTTCCAGCTCTCCAATGACTTTTCTAAGACTAAAGCAAAAATGGATCAGGATGGATCTACACAACCCCCCCTAAGGCAGAGGGTGTTATCCCTGTCAAAGCTTTGGAGTATAGTAGCCTTGGTCGTGAAGCAATCTCCAGTCTCAGCCCTGCTCCTGATGGCAGTGCTTGAGCTATTGGGGGCTATAGCTGTACCAGAACCCTACTTCTCAACTCTTTTATCCTCAATAGGATACTGACTCAGATGGTTGGTCATCTGCTCCAACCAAAGCACATGTCTGGGTATTACTGGTATCCTCAGAAGCCCAAGGCCTGGTGGCACATGCCTGTAATCCCTACACTCAGAAGGCAGAAGCAAGGGCTCAGCTCATGAGTTTGAGACCAGCCTACGCTACATTCAGTAGTGAAACTGTCAAGAATTTTGTGGGGAAGAAAGGATGAAAAGATCATATGTAAAGTCCTGGAAATAACTAGAACATGGTAACATGGATTGTCAGCACACAGCCAGGTTCAGATCCAGTTTTCTGCCATACTATTTCATTCACCTGTGGTACCACAGAGCCCTGTCTGAAGGCCAAGGCACAGCAGTTGGTCCTGAACCAGATTCCATGCTTTTCAGGGTCCTTCTGGACTTCTGGCTGTCCTTTCCCTTCTGGGAAAGAAATCTGTGGGGCCAAGAAGATGTGTGCACTTGGAAACCATGCTTCTCTTTCTAGATCATATTCCAAGTGACTATAACCCTTGAATCTCTAGCCCTCAAAGTCTCAAGCCTGCAAAGGCTTACCTAAACTCTGCTTACTCCATGCCCCACTGGTTTCTCATGACTGCTTCTTGTTCTTAGGGTTGTTCCTTACTAGATGCCTGGAGCTTCAGTTTTGTCCTACTTATTTTCAGATCTCCATGCCACTGTTCATTTCTTCCTTTTCTAATACCTACATGTACCCATGAAGTTAGTGAATGTTTGTGGTCACTGTAGTGATTTTCAAGTAGTCAAGAATCTCTCTCTCCAAATTCTCTTGGCCACTGATGCTCTGATTTGGACACCAGACAAACCACCACAACCAAAACAGCCACTATGCCTGGCAAGACGACTCAGTGGGAAAAGATACTTGCCCATCTCAATGACCTGAGTTTGATTCCTAGAATCCACATGTTGGAAAGAAAGAACTGACTCTCACAGGTGTCCTCTGACCGCCACATGTGTCATGGCGTGTGTACCCACACACAAAACAATAATGTAAATAATAATAAAAAGACAAAACCAGCCACCCAAACAGAAAAGCACCATCTCCATTCATTCCCCCCAACCCCTACAGCAAGTCCTTTCTAAGTCTTTAAAGGAGGGAGGGGCCTTGGGGGGAGATGTCAGAGGTAGCAGAGTCAGTCATATACGGAGCAAGCAGAGTATCACTGGAGATTCTTAGTGTGGTCCAAACTGAGTAATTGGAGCTTAGCATTTCAATTGCAGTACTGTAAGTGTTCACTCAGTTCAACCATGGGGAATAACTGTTCTGCCAAGCTAAATTCCCACAGTGTGAGTACTTATGAAGACCTCATCACTCTGCTTTGCCATCACCAGCCTGTTGTGTGTGGGTGGGAGAGCGGGCAGACGTCACAGATATTGCAACTCTGTCAACTAAGGCCAATTTCTTTCACACAATTTAACTAAGAGCCGTTCTTAATCTCAGAACAAAATATGAACCAAATACAAATCTAATGTTCATACATTTCAAGCATAACATAGATTATAGAAAACTTTAAGAAAACCATCAAGAGAAACCTAACAATTCGTTGAGTCTTTCACAGTTCCCAGAAAGCCAAGATAAAAGAGCAGTCTGCTGGAGGGACACAGGCTTTGGTCCCTGTGGGCCTGGGTCTCAGCAAGGCAGCCCAAAAAGCTGTGGGGACAAATTACTTCTCTATACTCAGTTTCCTCACCACAGACGGCTGTCTGGGAAACACACACTTGATTCTTTGCTCTGAGGATTAATAAGATAATGTATGCAGAGTGCTTGCAAGGGGCAGGCCCTTACGAAGCCCCTCATTAGTGGCACCCTTTGAGCACCCACTACACAGGCACTTGGGCCCACTTGGGTTTTCATCAATTGCTCTCCAAAACCCTTTGCTTGGGAGACACATAGGCTGGTGTGCAGAGGTCATAAGGTTTTAGTTGACAAAGCAGGTTAAGAGTGTATAGGCAGATGGAATTGAACTGCCTGATTTTTTTTTTCTTTTTTTGGTTAAAGTAAAATCCCTTTTAACTCTCATGAGAGCTCCAGTGACACCATCTCCAGACAGCTGGGCAGCAGGCCCTAACCAAGGAAAGATGAGCATTTGTGAGAAGGAGCGCCATACAGAGACACCATGTGGGACCCCAGTGAGCTAAGCTATAGGCTGCAGAACAGTCATGCTCTTTAGCTCCACGCTCCACTGTGCAGGAGCATCGTAATGCCTCTTTACTGTTCCCTGCTCCCTGCTTTGTGTCAGGCAATTACATGGACTCTCATTTCCACAGAGAGCCATGAGACCTGGAAAAGGGAGGACTGGGAAAAGGTTTTATGAAGCTTCGGAAATGGAGTTTGTGTTCCAGCTGCAGTTCACAGAGCACAGGGGCAAAAAGGCTTCCCAGAAGTGGACTGGCACATCCAAGCTCACCTCACTCTTCTTCTACACCATATTCCCAGCCTTAGCCGTCTCTAAAATTTAGAGGTAAGTTGCTGGAGCACTAAGAAACTACATTTGGGTTCTGTCTCTTTAAAAGCAAGAAACAAAACTAGAGGCACTGTTTAGCATCCATGTATTTCAAATAGTTACATGCTTCAAAGAGACACAAGTTCAAGTTCGCTCTATGGAGTTTATGACCTAGAGGCAACATAAATTATCTTGGCTGGCTTAACCACACAGCATCGAGTGCAACAAAATAACCCGAAATATGATCAGATCAAATTTTTATTATTTTATGCATATGGGTGTTTTGCCCACATATGTCTGTATAGCAAGTGTAAGCATCGTGCCCAAGGAGGCCAAAAGAGGGTGTCAGATGCCCTGAACTGGAGTCACAGATGGTTCTGAGCTGGCATGTGTGTGGGTGGCTGAGAATTGATTGAACCTGGGTCCTCCGAAAGGACAGCCACTGAGCCATCACTCTAGGCCCCTGATGGGGTAACATCAGATGGGCCTGGAGTTATCACAGATGGAGTAACAATGTGTTAATTCTTTAGGTATTTGCTATCTAGCCTTGGGAGGTGAGGGAAGAGCTGGTACAGAGGTCATTATTCTTTGCTTCTTGTGGGGGTGGGGTAGGAAGAAGTGTTAAGACAGGGTCTTACTACACAACTTACCACATAACTTGGAATTTACCGCGTTACCAAGGCTGGCTTCTCCTACCCTCCTCAGACATGACATTACACTGTGAGTGGCCACATACAGCAAAGGTCACTTATTTATTTCTCTTGTATGGGTATTTTACCTGAATGTGTCTGTGCACCATGTGCACGCAGTGTTCACAGAGGACAGAAAAGGGCATTGGATCCCCTAGAATTACAGATGTTATTAGAAACAAAACTAGAGGCACTGTTTAGCATCCATGTATTTCAAATAGTTACATGCTTCAAAGAGACACAAGTTCAAGTTCGCTCTATGGAGTTTATGACCTAGAGGCAACATAAATTATCTTGGCTGGCTTAACCACACAGCATCGAGTGCAACAAAATAACCCGAAATATGATCAGATCAAATTTTTATTATTTTATGCATATGGGTGTTTTGCCCACATATGTCTGTATAGCAAGTGTAAGCATTGTGCCCAAGGAGGATACTGGGAACTGGACATGGGTCTTCTGCAAGCTCTCCAGGCCCACTACTTATTTTTTTAATACACATTTTATTAATTCTTCGAGATTTTCATAAACGTTATTCTCACATTTTATATTTATTATAAATGTTGTGTTAAGATAATATATTTTTATCTAATATTTTTAAATTACATTTACTTGCCTGGGGGAAGGGGACATGTACATACTAGGGCACATGTGTAGAGGTAACTTTTAGGAGTCAGTTCTCTCCTCGCACCATGTGGGCTCTGGTGATGAA